CGATTGTTCAGCCTAGCGTTTCCATGTCGTCCTCCAATTCAGCGCCGATCACTCGACTCGCTTTTCCACAGTCGTTCGTCCTCATAGGAGAGAGAGGATTCAAAGACCTCAACAATGACGAACGACTTTGGCAATCGACTCGAATCATCGGCTCTGAGAGATACGAAATAATCGAAACGCTAGCCGAATAAATCTATTTATCAACCTCGTTTCATTAGCTGAGTCGTAGAAGAATCTGCTATTGTTTCATTATTATTCGAGCCAACATGGCATGTGGTCTGGTAAGGGCTCTTGTACAGCCCGAGACACGTGTTTCGTCCTTACGGACTCGTCAGCCGGGCAGAACCCGTCGTCTTTCGATCTTTTTATAGTCACTTCTCTCGCGAGCCTTACACTGCTTATAGAGAGTCATCGACGACGTACGCTTTACACTCTATGTCAAGTGAAATTTGCTTGTCAATTTGCTATGTCAAGTAAGCTGGGCTCCCGAGAGAACTGACTATTAGAAAGATCGACAGACGACGGGTTCCGCCCGGCTGATGAGTCTGTAAGGACGAAACACGTGTATCGGGCTGTAGAAGAGCCTTTACCAAACCACATGACAAGTGGGCTCAAATAATAATGATAGGATTCATTGAAATTTAAGCGTGGACTAAACAAAGCACGCGAAATAAAGGTATGATCTGCTATCGGTTAGTAATCTGAAGTCAGAGGAAAGTCGTTTTTCAAAGTAGGAAATTAACCCTCAAAATAAACCTTAAGGACTTTATGAACATTTTACATGACAGAAACGAAATCGATGTCTAACCTTTCGGCGATATCGTCTTCCTGAGAACCATTTAACTACTTACACGGGAGATCACTGGTGAGCTGCCACCACAATATGAGCAAAACAGAATAATATATAGCTAACAAACGGTTAAAAACATATTAATATGGGGGGCCGGTGGCCGAGTGGCTCACAGCGCTCGGTGCGGCTCCACGAGGGGTCTATCCCCACCGCTTTGCGACAATCAATAACGAACGCCCACTGGAACGCTCTGGCCTGGCTATCCTCGATGTTGCAAGGAGACGTAATCGAACAGTACTCTATGATCTAGTTCGTGAAGAAGAAAGATCTTCAAAAAGACGAGGAACGCGAGGAGAGGAATCGAGTGCTCGAAGAACTGAGATCCGCACAATGAAGAGAAAACGCAATAATGTGGAGTGCTATGCAAAAACATTTGCGTCAGCCGGGATTCAAACCCACTGCAAGTGGCAGTCAGATAAAACGAATTCTGAAGAAAAAAGTGAGTTGCGGATCAAATAAAAGTGATAAAGTGATAAAATGAATCGCTGTAACATATAAAAATCCATCTTATCGACTGTTTTCGAACCTCGCCATAAAGATATGATATAGACTTTGAGAATGACTGGAGCCTTTTCGAGGTTGGTGCGTTAGTCGCATACGTACGTTCCGGCGCTGTCGCCCGCTTCACCAGTGGCCCACGCCCCACACTAAACCCTATTTCAGAGCAGGGGTGTGGGGCGTGGGTCACTGACGAGGCGGGCGACACCGCCTAAACGTACGTATGGCTCTGACGCAGCAAATTCGAAATGCCTCTGGATATTCTCACAGACTATATTGAATAAAGAATAAAGGATAAAGCTCTCGGCGTTGATCAATCCCTGAGGGATGCGCCATGTATTCGACTTCAATTTTTAACTTCGTTCGAGGTGATTGAATGCATATCTGGCCTTCAGAATGACTCGCGATGGCCTCCCGCTTAACCGAGTCAGTGCTGCTTATCCTCCCAGACAAGTCTGAGACCTGCCTGGTACCAATTTACCGACCCCGGAGGGATGGATGGCTTGGTGAGCCATGAGCGCGAGATTGAACCATTGAAATCGTGTGCGTCGCAGAGCACCACTAACCACTGCGCCACATGTGCATAACATGTAAATATGATAATACATGATACAATAAGATATAATTCGCAGTTTAATAGCTCTGAAGAAGGCGAAACCTGCGAAACGCCACGGAACGCCACGGAACGCCCACCACTGATTTCAAGCCTTTCGAGACCGTGGACCCCTGGCCCCTGCATCTCTAGCTGGCAACTCTGGCTGGTCTGCTCCACCTTCTCAGCATCTCCAACCCCCAGCTTGCCGCACCTGACAATGGGACGCTGCTGCGTCTAACGAGAGCACGCTGAGGGTTAGAGATGCAGAGGGCGTGGGTCCATGGTCCCAAAAGTGTTGAAGAAGAAACTCTGATTATGGGCAAGCTCTTCTAAATGAGGACAGTCTCCTTTCTGAGACCAAGTTAGCGAGGATCGGTCTCGGGATTTGCTACTTCTACAATTGCTTTGTGCCGCTTTATGAGGGGCAATTCACAAAGAACTCACTGAATTTCCTTGAGAGGATGAGCTGTGCTTCGTCCATAACTGAGCCATAGTGTTTGGAAAGATCCTGTAATCGTACGAGTAGATCATAAACGGTCTGGCCACGATTGCCCCACGCTCGGAGTATAGCCTCGCCAGGATTCGCTTCACGTCCTATTCGTCGTATGTCATCCTCACTGAGCACAACTACATTTCGATCAACTCCATGAGATTCAAGACCATCAAGTGATATGCAAAACTTCCGACTTCACGCCGGAGTCGAACCCGCGTCCATTTTCCGGTAGTGTGAACTAACCATTACGGTTCTTCTGAGTTATAAGGCGGCCAATGAATAACTGAACCCATTCGCTGGACACGAACTTTCCATAGGAGTTTTAGTAACATTCAAAGGATTACTGATAGTCCAAAGGGCTCTGCCGGCCAAAAATAAGGACATCTGAGGCTAGTTTTTTTTCGGATTTTCACCGTTATAAAAGAGTGTTTTGAAAAACCGGGGGGCAGTAGTCAGAAATGTCAGCTTTCGAATGATTACTAACACTCCTATGAAAAACCCCCCTCCACCGAGTGAGCTCGATGTTTCATTCGCCCCCCTTCTAGACAGAAAGAACTCCATTACACCGCCGAGGATCCTCTTCTGATACCACCCTTTCTGCAATACGAGATATCGGGCCATCAGAACGCCGCTAAAGGGTGAGGCGCGCAGGTTCCACTCCCGTCTGAGATCCCGAAGGTTTCCAGATCACTCAAGTGTCTCGAATATACAGCTGTAACCTCATGATACTGCTACTGAAGCGACAAAATAAGGAATTCTGTGAATTTCACGAGACAAAATACGACTTTACCTACTCAAGGGATGATGGGTATGCAAAACTTCAACCTTAGACAGGAATTGAACCCGCATTTCACCCATGTTAGAGCCAAAGGAAGACTAGAAGCAGAGCAAAGGCCTCGGCAGTGTAGAGGTAACGCTCGCCCTCGGTACGAATGGGACGAGGGTTCACTATCTCCTGAGGCTTCGGGCTTCGCACATGATTGGGGTTCCCTGGATGTGGAGCTGCAACTTCATAGCACTGCTTTGAGAGCGGTGAAATAGAAAAAGGACCCGGAAAGCGTGCAATATAGGTTCGAGTCCCGCTCGACGTCAAAGTTTTGCACGCTACTCGACATCATTGGTTGGAAAAAAGCTGTAGATCACGGCTAGACCTATACGTTCTAGATAGGCCCACCTCATATAATAGATACTATTTTTATTCGGATCGACAATCTTCAACCAGAGATCGTCGGCGCTGAGACAATTCGCCAGCAGTTGGCTGGTTCGCAAGCGAAGATCTGCCAAATTTGTGTCCAGAGAGGTCATTCCGATGACATATGTCTCCTGCAACTGTTGAAATCCGGACCATCAATTTTTGAGAGATCTCCGACGATCTGAGAAATGTCCCTGAGAACCGCATGGCCCAAGGAGACACTGTAGAACGCAATTTAACTAAGCAACATAATAACCCATTAATGTAGAGCAATGTGCAAAACTTTCGCGTCAGGCGGGACTAGAACCCTTCCCTGACTCTTTCCGGGAATGCGTGTTCTATCCATTACGCTACTGACGACTGCAAATCGGTACGCTATAGCGTAGAAAGAGCGATGTGTAAGATGGGCGTCAGTAGTGTAACGGATAGAGCACGCATTCCCAGAAAGAGTGAGGAGCTGGTTCTAGTCCCGCCTGATGCGAAAATTTTGCACATCACTCTTACCACCGCTATAAGAGGTTAAATAAAAGAATATCATCTAAACAACATAAAGTCAGGACGAGAACAGCAGGGATACACAAAGTTTCATCATGAGATGCGACCAGAATACGAAGTAGACCAAGCCCAGAATCTTAGTTACGGTAGATTTTGATCTCCCAAATGTCATGAAATCGTAAGGGCGACGCTAGTGGATAGCTGTGGTCCCATCAAGCGCGGCGCGTGAGAAACATAATCCTATTTTGAGCGCTACAGGGTTGCAGGAAGACTTTTCTCAAAAGCAAGTACATTTTTGATCTCGTCGAGATTCATGCTATTCAAAGGTCTTCAAGGAAGGCCATAGCCGAGTGGTTGTGATGCCCTTCGCGGCCAGCGTGGAACCGAGCTCCACCCCCAACCCTTCGGCGGCAACCAACAACAACGCCCTACGGAACGCCTCAGCCACGCTAGCCTCGAGTTTGCAAGGAGAAATGCTCAACCAGTATTCCACGTCATTCAAAAAGAAGACGAAAAACGAATCGAATTCTAAAAGTGCTGGAATCTGCACAACGAAAATTGTGATGACGGGTCGTGTAGATAAATAAAAATAAAATAGAAGTGAGAATAAACAAGCGTCGGTGGTGCAACGGTTTAGCACGTGCTCCCGGAAACAGTAAGATCTGGGTTCAAATCCCGGCTGACGCAAACGTTTTTGCACACCACTCTACATCATTGGGTTTATAGAAACATCATAGCACCGCAATAGGCGGTCAAATAACATGATTTCGGATTAAAATAAAAGTGATAATACTTATAATTTCTAATGTTTTGACTGCATTTTCGCAGTGACACGATGTTTCCAATACACCTGGGAGAATTGAGTGGTAAGCAAAAATACCTCAGGCGGGAGTCGAACCCGCACTTCATCCATACCAGGGACGAGTGCTACCCTACGCCACAAGGGTACATTAGCGCTACCACTCATTCAACATCTCTGCTAGAGGTTGGTGGCTGATAGCTAACATAGAGATGTTGAAGAAAGTGTGGTGGCGCAAGTACATGTCGAAGGTGTAGTGGTAGCATGCATCTCGGGTATGCATGAAATGCGGGTTCGACTCCCGTCTGAGGTCGTATTTTAGCTCACCACTCAGTTCTCTTAGAAGTGATAATGATATAACGTGTTTTGAGCCGTTTCTCAGGTCTAAGTGCTAGCAAGGCGCCCGTTCCGTCCTACCTAGTCTCCACTCTAGCACAGTCCCTCGGTTCAGTCGATTCCTTGAGGCCAAATCCCTCTATGAAGGCATAGCTCTTGTAATACCCTTCCTTTACAGAGGAGTATAGCCTCAAGGAATCAGCTGAACCGAGGGACCGCGCTACTGAAGAGTCCTGGAGGACGAAACTGGCGCCCGTTTAGCACTTAGACCTGAGAAGCGGCTCAAAATATGTTATATCATTATCAGAGTATTTTGGCTTTATGCGGGGTCTATCAAAAAGTCATTAAAAGTTTAGAAAAAGCGCTTTGTCCAGCAGAATTTATGAGGTTATGTCTCACGCGCTGCGCGATTTTTAGTTGATTATCGCGCTTGTCAGAATTCTTTTTATCTGACCGCCACTTGCGATGGTATGATCTTATGATATGCCCCATAATGTGGAGTGCTGTGCAAAAACATTTGCGTCAGCCGGGATTCGAACCCAGATCTCACTCTTTCCGGGAGCGTATGCTGAACCGTTGCACCACCGAAGCTCGTTTAGCACTTAGCATACGCTCCCGGAAAGAGTGAGATCTGCGTTCAAATCCCGTAGTGAGATCTGGGTTCGAATCCCGGCTGATGCAAATGATTTTGCACAGCACTCCACATTAATGGGTACCGCGCTTGTACTCCGCTGGACAGGGCTTTTTCTCAGAACTTTCAATGACCCTTGAATGACTCAAATTTGTGCAAGTTCAAAAATTTACTCGTTTCTGAGAGAACTCTCCTTACAACAAGGTAGCTAGCAATCATGGTAAGATTATCGTTTCCCACACGCCGCGGTCAACGGGCTCATAAATCTCCACAAGGGCCAGAGAAGCGGTGATATAAATGGATCTCTACCACGGTCAGGCTTACGTACAAAGTAGATCACACCCGGAATCAATCCTGCCTGTCTGCTTTCAAGCGGGGCCAACTGCAAATGCAAGGGAGCACAGGTCATGGGATTTCTATACTATCTGATCCCCTAAGATAACACGATATCAAAAGAAGCATCGGTGGCCAGCCTCTGTGATCTGCCTCTGGCTAGTGTCAACCGCAAAACGAGACTCAGATCACAGGTCAGGAATTGCTATAGGCCCTGATCTCCCGAGATAACGATAAAACCGAAGAAACATCAGCGACGCCCCCTCCCCCTCCACCTTCTACTGCGACGCTGGCCGACCTGTGGTGTAGATCAAGCCCAAGATCGATCCTCTGATCTACCACTTAGTGCTAACAATAACAGAGCAACAGTTAGACCACAGGCCAGAGGTTTACGGTAGAATCTGACATATTCCAACTTCGTAGATCGCAAAGAAAATTAGCAAAAAACACCAGCGCTTCCTAGTTTCCATTGTGGCGAAGCCATTAAAGTATGAGGTAGATCACGCTGGTATAGACGATGAAACCCCCCAACTGGTCTTTCTTCTCAGCTCATTCGATCATCTCTGACTAAGAACGTCAGTCGAAGCGATAGCGACGGGCTGCTGGCTTCCCGCCCCTTCTGATTTTTCTCGGAGCAGCACATTCTGGGAAAACCCAGAGGATAACGAAGTACCAGTTCATAGTCCACATCACTTTAAGCTGAGTTAGATGGTTCCACAAGGTAGATCACGACTGGAACGAGTTGTCTACGAAGGTTCTCTGCCCTTCTGATTCTTCCCGGAGTAGCACGTCCCAGGGAAACCCAGAAGCTAGACAAGCCACCGCCTCATAGCCTATATCACTCAAAACTGAGCCGTAGAGATTTCTAGAAAGGTAGATCATGAAAGGAACCAGTAGTATACGAAGGAACTCTACCCTTCCAATTCTTCCCGGAGCAGCAAGTCCCACGGGAACCCAGAAGTTAAGCAAGCCACTGCTTCATAGCCTAGCTCACTCAGAACTGAGCCGGAGAGATTTCTAGAAAGGCAGGTCACGGGGGAACGAGTGATCTACGGGGTTAACCAGACCTTCCCCAGGACTACTCCTCCAGCCCACGAATACCCATGGGTTCACGGACACGCTCCTAGGACAAGGGCTACGGAACGCCGAGGAGCGGTGCACACCTGGCAGAGTGCCAGGTGCTCTTCCACACTCCTCGGCCGTCGCCGGCGACGACATGCAGTCGCCGTGTCCCCGGCGATTGGCTGCGTATCAGCGGGACCTGCGCATAGCTGAGTATCGGTCCGTTGGCGTGCCTAGTGCGGCGGAGAGCGCAGAGAAAACTCTGGCCGTCAGACGGCGAACCGACGACGACGAAGCGTTGCAAAGCACACACACTCGGTGCTGTATCGATCGGTTCACGTCGTCGATCAATACTTTTCGTCCGGTTTTTCCTCTTCTTTATCGATTTTTTGCGATCTATGCGTTCGTCGAAAGTGGCTTGATTGTCCGGAAATGTTGAGTGAAATGGGAAACTTCGAACCAGCGGGGCGGGCGGGAGTTGAACCCGCGCCTCTTCCTATATCACTCAGCATTTTTGGTACGTGGCTAGAGGGAAATGGTAAAATGAATTCTTCTGGTTGTATCGATTAATTTATTCTTATTCGACTAAGTTCCGGAATTTTGCGAAAATTTCTAAATTTGGAGAGGATTTTTTTCGATTTAGTTAGGTTTAATCCTTTTTATTTTTGTCCCAAATTTAGTTATTATTTTTTTTTCGTATAGAGCAGATACGAGACTACTGAGGGTAGATTTTACTGAATAGAAAGCATAATATAAAGATGTCTGACTCTTCGGTGGTTTCGGCTTCTTCAGACCCCGAAAAGGTGGGGTCAACTTGGCTTGCTGTCTACTCAGTCAAGCCCTTTCGTGACCCTGGCAGAAACCTTTGCGGCAACCCTTAATCTTTTCTAACCCTTAGCCCTTTGACAGCCTTGCGTGGTCGCGTAAAACACGTTGGACTATTGTGCAGCTTCTAATTCTAGCAGAAACCCTCGAAACAATTTTGACCTGTTGACCCTCTAACTTTTTGGTAGCTTCACGTGGTCTTGTTAAAATCATTCTGTTAGTGCGTGGCTTTTAACCCCTAAAAGAAGTCAGCAATTTCTGCACTGTTAATCCTAGCCCTTTTTCAGCCTCACATTGTCTCGTTAAAATCATCGGATTAGGTTGCAGATTTCAACCCTAGCAGAACCCTTTAAACGGTTTTTGGCTTGTTGACCCTCGTAGCCCTTTGGCAGCCTCACATTGTCTCGTTGAAATCATTGTATTAGGTTGCAACTTTTAACCCTACTAGAAGTCGCTAGCAATTTCTGCGCTGTTAACCCTTAGCCCTCTGGCAGCCTCACATTGTCGTTAAAATCATTGGATTAGAGTGCAGCTTTTAACCCTGGCAGAAACCCTTAAGTCTCTGAGCTGTTAATCCTCTAAGCCCCTTTGATAGCCTTACATCTCGTGAAAATCACTGAGGGTTCAACTTTGTCTCCTTGTTTGGTAAATGGTGTTATTTTGAAGGCTTCTTGTTCCTTGTCAACTGAAAATAGGACTGTAAACACAAAGGCTTTGGACTCAAGGTCTACGTTGTTCGTCAGTAATCTGATCATATATAAAATTAATCGCTTATAGTGCCACTGAAGGCTTTCCAGCATCGACTTGGCTCTTGCAGGTTTCCGGTGTGGACCATTCGGTTGACCCGTGGAGCTTTTTCGTATAGCCATTCGTCGTTCATGCCATGGAGCCACCTGCGGTGACTTCATGTAATTCCCAAAGCTCCTCCAATGGGTTGGTGATCAGTGTTCATTTCTTTTCTCATCGGATTTTCTCTCTATTTTTCTTTTATTTGTAATTTTTTTTACCACAGACCGGTTTAACCATGAGCCTACTGGCGAGTACAACGACTATTTCAGCATGGAGAAAATACGACGTCAAGCAGCGGACTATCTGCAAATAGATCCATCCAGTACGTTCATCAACAATGCCACTCGTAACTTTGAAGATCTGCCGGAGAACTTCTTGGACACGATCAGTCCCCAGCAGAACTCGCAGTCGCTAGGACAACTGCTGAACGATCACGCAAATAGTCCTCAACTGGCCCCATTGGCGCCGATGAGCATCGGGTCCGATCAAAGGTGATTTTTTCTCTAATTTTGCAGTTTTTTCCGTAAATTCAAGAGTTCTCTTGAACGTTCTTATATAGAGATAAGTTGGTGTAGTTTCAGCGGCCCATATATGATGACTATCGGAAGCCAATATCAGGACCAAATCCGACATCCGGCGCTCGATAAATCCAGACTCGATAGGTCCGTATGTCTGTCTCGGTGTTCAACACCTATGAAATCATTTGTATTTTGCCGTCCTTTTGTCGACTAATTCTGATTATTTCCCTCTGTTCATGATCACCATTTTTAATCTTATTTGAAGTACATGTGGGCATAACGTTTTCACGTTATTTTCCAAATTATTTTTATGAGAAGTTAGTTGTTTTTTTATGAGTTCAAACTTTTACTCATAATTTCTGGGTCTGGAGTTCCCTTTCACTAGAGAAAATAATGATCTGGGAAGTAGGATTTCCAAGGTTTTTTACTTGATTGGAAAGCGCTTTTTTTTTTGAAACAGCTCAAGTTTCTATCAGTGGCACCTAGTCCCCGATAAGGGTTAATTTTTCAATATGCCTGGTAATGATTGTTTGAGCCACTCATGTTAGTGATCTATCAAAGAGGGCTGACTTATAGAGCTCGATACACGTGTTTCGATCTTGCAATCTCGTCAGTCGGATAGTTAACCTTTCTCGTCTTTTAGCAATCCTATGC